ATAATTCCAAGATGTGTTTGGGATGATTTTCCCAGGTCTTGTGCTCTTCAGCTGAACAGAGCAGGAGGACCAAGGCAACATGATTTCCTTCTTCACGCACGTCTTCCTTTAGAATCCAGTTTGTCACTGTCAGGCTCTCTAAGGAAAATCTGCTGAGAATTAAAATGAGCAGAGTGGGACATGAGAACAGCACCTGTACATGACATGCTTCTCTCTAAAGTGGGAAGCTCTTGGTGTAGCTTGATTTATGCTCTGGGGCAAGTAAAAACATGGAAAGATATAACTACTGCATGACATTGTAAGAACAGCAAAAACAAGGACAGATGTATAACAGAGTAATCCTGGTGTTCCTCCATAAATCTTTATAATACTGGGTTGGATTTTGATCTTTTTATCTCTTATAGCATGCCTTTAACTCTGTCTTTGATTGGAAATTTTCATTAGGAATGGCCTGTGGTAAAAGTCAGAGTTGTTTTCTTTCTTCACATGTGAGCTTCACCCTGGGGTGTAGAAAATGGCTAATTATCTTTTGGAATAGACCTGATGGCTACTTCAAGGGGATTCCCAGAACAGATTGACTTTTGCGAATTCATCCAGTTGAAATCCTTTCACAGGCACAGCTCCAAATAACACAAAAGAGTATCACCCAGAGAAGCCTCCAGTCCTAATCTGAAGTTGAGAGGCTAGTTAAGATAGTGGTTCACTGATTTACAGTAACAAAATCAAACTGAATGAAAAATGCTGCAACTGCATTACACACATAAAAGACAATCACAGTTTGCCGTTTAAAGTATGCTCAAACCTATTTGACCAAATACCTTTTTACCAAGAAGCTTTATGGTGGTTTAATTAACCTATGTTATTCCACATCCACCATAAATCTAGTATTAAAACTACTATAAACCATTTTTTTGTATGTGCCCCACTGATGTGCCCAACTTTGATGGGTTCAGTGGCAGTGCAAAAATCCAGGGTTAAGGCCTGCAAAAACATAGCCTCAAGCTCCAATACTTTTCTGGTACTAATAACAACCATTAAACTGTATTGAGTTATGAGGGTACTTAAAAATCTTAAGTGGAAACCTTCCAAAGGCATAAAGATTAACTCAAGTTATTCTCTTGGCTATCACACTGTAGGATGCCTGACTTTCTTCGTGCATTTGAAAATCTGTCAGTATGAACAAGGACACAATTTAAATATGACACAGGGGGAAAAACCTAACAGCTTCAAAAGATCTCATCTAAATGTGTAACAAAATCTCCACAAGTATTGGCTCATGAAATGCTCTTCTTTACATCCTTGAATTGAAATTTTTCACTTTAAATTCAAATTTTAAAAATCCTGTAAATCTATATGCTTATAATTATATACTTCATGAGGCAAATAAATGCTTACCACAGTTGTACGTTTGATGTTAATTTTGTTTACTAGATCCTCAGGAAAGAATATTTCAAAGAAGATCTGTTTTCAATAAAAAAACAAAGCTTTTCCATTTCTTCAAAATAGCTTTCTGACTGCAAAGCCACAATAGCTCGATAAAGTATATGTGAATGTGTGTACCTACCCTGTAGCTCACAAATAACTGTCAGACATCAGTTTGTAGTCCCAGAAGTTATAGGCTACTTTACCCAATAAATCCCAATCATCATCACCTAATTTAGTCTACTAACTTATTCTACTGCTATAAAGGTTGCAAACTATACAAGCTTTGCCATTTTTAGGAAACTGAGTAGTGTTCTAAATTGTGTGAGCTGGCACCTACATCTTTCTTCAGTTTTATGATCTAATTTACAGCATTCTCTTCTGAGACAAATTATTTTTGAATGTTAAGAAGCTGGAGTGGCATTTCTCTTCTAAGAGGAAAAAATCTTTGCCAAATAAATGTCAAGGATATATGGTTAGGTATGAAGATATTTCTTGGGAGAATCCTTCTACGGGATATTTCTCTAGACAGCTAACATTCACAGCAGACACATCAGAAAACTTGACTAATTCAGACATTTCTTCACCATAATGTGGCAAAGTTGAGGTGGATATTTATACCTGATCTAAATATTCCATTTATAGATGTCCATATGGGGAATAAAATAAGATTATCATATTCCCATCACCCCAGACCAATGGGATGAACCAACATGCCTTTTATATTGTTTAAACGTGATGTAAAGCTAGAGGTTTTTCCTTCACCTTGTATCTGCTTCTTTTTTTTTTTTTCTCATGTGGAGAAGGATGTGTTACAATTTTCTTATAAGTGTTTTAATGACCATGCTTTAATGTTGTTAAAACATCAGCTTTTAAGACTTTTTTTAAACTATTTTGGTGAGAGGATTTGGTGTAATCTCGTAAAACAATCAAGAGTATTCACGGGAAGATATTACCAAAACCATAAACATTTTTATTTATATGGAAAATGCTCATATCTGGCACTCTAAAATCCTAATGAACATCTACTTATGCTAGAAATTTCATCAGAGGGTTTCTTTCTTCCATCCTAGTGTGACTGCAACACTGATCTTCACTTGATAAATACGGTTTGGTCATTTATATCAAACCCTTGGATACACTCAGTAAAGAAAGTTCCCTGTAACCTTTAACTTACCACCAGTGCTAAAACAGGAAAGTTAATCCTGAAGTCTCCATCCTGCAATTTGCAGTAGAAGTCAGGATGGCTGAGCTGGTTACCAGCTGTCTCTTTTCAATGAGACAACCATTTGGGATACAATTTTCTGTAGCTCTATACAGCTATCAATTATTCACTGCCACAATGGGCCATTAAAGAACCATCAGTCAATGATTCATGTCTGGTAGTTATTTTAAGTCTAAAAGGAAACCTACAGAAAAAAAATAATAAATAAATAAATCTTCATAGTTCTTTAAATTTGAGAAAAAAATCTGCTCATAAGAAGAATAATCTCCAATCAATGAATTAATTAATCTTTTTGTAAGATTCACAACAGTGTATGTGCAACTAGACCTACAGGTTAGAGCCAGGATGGAATGGGAAGGTAATGAGTCAGGGTGTCAACAAAAATGGGATCTGAGGTCTGGTAGAGGATCAGAGAGTTGGGCCAAGCCAGAGTGTGGCAAAATACAAAACATGGTCAGAAGATAACCAGGGTTCAGCAAACTGGCCAAGCTGGGATATACTGAGCTGAAGAGCCAAAATAACAGTACCACCAGAGACTGAGTGAAAGCCAGAAAGCTGGACAGTCTGAGTAAGACAGGGCCAGGGGGAAATAAGGTTGAGCAATGTCAGACAACCTGGTCACCATCAGTGAGCTGAGTTCTGCCAGGTGTAAGGAGACAGAGGGCAAAAGCCAAAAATTAAGATACAGCAAATGGAAGAAGAAGATCTGGGATCTGCAGCCAACACTGAGGAGCACAAGATGCAAACAAGGATATGAATAAGAGATGCCGAGACAAGAGACAAGCCTGATGCACAACAGGAAGCAAACTGAAGAAAAGGAAGCAACCGATAGGATTCTCTCCAGTAAGCGAGGCAACCTGTCAGCCAGCCTCAGGATGCCTGGCCTTCTGGCCCTCCTGGCTCCCCAGAAAGCTGATGACAGGCACCATATCTAGAGACAGATGATGTCACCAAGGCTGAAACAATTGGATTGTTTCAGATTTCTCTAGGCAAATTACAGGTAGGTGGTAATCCATCACAAGCCAAGATTACAAAATATAAATAAAATCTTCCCTAATATGCTTCCAAATAAAATAGTAAGAAGAAGAATTTAAAAAAATAAATAAGATAAGCTTTGGTAAATGTTGCACTGTTTTCTTAGAAACCAAATAAAGGTGAAGCAAAGGACTGGGACTTGACTAAAGCCAATACTATGATACGGCTGAAACAAAAATTTTTTTGACTTTATGAGTGAGATGTTTTAGTGTTCTGTTTTTGTGTGTGTTTTTTGTTTGTTTGTTTGTTTTGTTTTGTTTTGTTTTTGTTTTTGTTTTTTTTTAAGATGTTAAAAAATTTGTAAATGATCACTAAATGTTTCATGTTTTAGTGTAAAAAAATTTAGGCAGTGTGCCCCCATTTGTGCATGTGTATGTACACGTAAATAGACAAAGAGTTTCCTTTCCCTGTCTCCACCAGTTCTAATCCAAATCATTGTATAATTGTGTCTGATAATGGGCTGCCAGTTTTTCTGTCTACATAAAGCCATCAAAGAACATTAGGAACTCTAATATTTTACATAAGCATTCTCCAAGTTATTTTTGTCTCAAACACTGCCACCTCAGAGAAATTCAGCTGTTCATATGTCCTGCTTGTTAGATTCAGCACAGAGCTGTACTGACAGAAATATTAGCAATGTTTCTAAAAAGTAGCTCAAAGCCCATGCAGACCAAGGGAAAGACTAGAAAACACTGGCATCCTAAGATCTGATAAGGTCAATTGTATAAAATTTGTACTGTGCCCCCTTTGACACTGATTGAAAAGCAGATTACCTCTCCATATAGCTAGCTATTATTTCTTTATAATCAATGGCAAATAACATTTCAAAGAATGCTCCTCAATAGGCACAAACTAGTTATAGGCATTTTTCATCTCATATTTAATTCACAGAGAATTACAGCAGTAGGTGATTATCATCTTGATTAACTTAGAAGTTTAAAAAAAAAAAAAAAAAGAAAGAAAAAAAAAAGAAACCCAAATCCCACAATTTGAATAAGTATATTTAATCAACCCTTCTACCGGACTCGATCCAATTATTTACAAGTCTTTTTTTGGAATCAGTAAATAGCTTTTAAAAGTACTCTTCTAGAGTGACAGGATGTCAGTCTCTTTAAGAACAACATGCTTTTATTGCATTTGGATCAGATCAAGATAAAAATAGAGATAAGTATTATAATGAGAGCTCTAGTACTTTCCAAACTGACTGTTTTGAATGACTTTGCTAATAAAAGATTTTAGATATTGGCAGTGAAGTCAGATCCCAATTTGGTGCAGAATCCCTATTCAAGACTTTGAGTATTACATAACATGCCCAAACTAAGGGTGGAAAAGATCACCTTTTGTCAAAAAAAAAAAAAAAGCTTATCTTGTGTGGTATCTATATATGTGGTGGAACATTTCTGCTTCATTTCTTCACGAGCCTGTGCAGTGACTCTACAAACTGAAACACTGATTAACGGGGATCTAAAATAGATTATCCTTTTTTTGCAGCTGAAATTCAGGTAAAAATTTTCTAGAGTGTCTCAGCCATATAAAAACTCTTAAGTAGCTGTGTTTATATGTCTGTGTTTTGTGAAATGACATATATATATACACCATATATTTTTATTTATGTATATATATAAAATAGCAAAAGCCATTGTTTTTATTTTTATTTTTATTTTTTTAATATTGAGAACAAAAGGCAGCAGCTAATATGGAGTTTCTTTGATTTTTGAAACAGACTTGCCTAAATTTTCAAGTAAGTTTATGTAGTAAAATAGATTTGGGAATATAAAAGTTTTGTGTAGCTCAGAAGAGATTCAGAGATCTCTACAAAAGTTGTTTTTTTTTTTACTGGAGAAACTATTTAGAATGCTCAGCTGAGAGGCTGGTGCAGTTATCTGACAAGTTACTTTTCCTTCTGATAGCATTAATTGCTCAAGGACTGTGATAGATGGGGTAAAGTGTGGTCATTAAAATTTAACTGCAAGAGAATAGTAGTATTACATCTGCCAAGGAGTACTGGGTAGCTGAATGATAAGAAAAGGTAGCATTGACATTCCTTGTAATAAAACTAGAAGAGATGAAGTCAAATTATGAATTCTTCAGAGTAAATATATTATTTTCCCCAGTGTATTCAAGCTAGCAATGAAACAACTGGTATTCCAATATTAGATTTTATCTTTGACCATATGGTGCAGCTCACAGAAGTAATTTTGGCAGAACCTGATGCCTTTTTTATGTGCTTGCTAAGTCCTTTTTTTGGTACAGGCAGATGCCAACATTAAAAACATATCACTGGGTACTATTAGAGTAGGTACATTATCTAGACATTAAAAAATGAGCCAGTCTATATTTTCTTCAATGAATAAAGATGCATTGCATGTTGCTTTACATTCATAGGTCTAAGTCACTGTCCTTTAAGTGTGATAGTCATAAAAGACCTGAGCCTATATTTTTACCCAAGATCTTCTTGTATGATCTGAGCAGAAGAGCCCTGCTGATTATTGTTTTGGAAAGGATTGTGATTTGTGGGTAGATGAGCAACAGCTCAGGTGGAAAAGCATGAAAATACATTCAAGATGAGAGACAGAGAGATTTCAGCACTACCTGAGCCATATTGCTGTGTAGCTGGCAGAAATCCAAACAAGTCATTGCACAGGTTGATGCTGAAAGAGGTTTGATATCTGGATCAGAGAAGAGATTTCTGGAAGTTTGTTTCAAAATAGTGGGATTTTCACTACCCTGTAACCAGCAATTACCAGTTTCTCTTAAAAAGCATATGGGATCTTGGATTTTGGCTAGCTTGGATGTGTTAGCAGTGCTTTATTTGAGTTTTTATTTTAGTTTGCAGAGCTGGCTCCTTGTTACAGGTAGATTAACTCGGAATAGTTGATGCAGCTACTGCCCCCTCCGCCTCCCCCAGCCTTCTGGCATCCCTCTAGCAGACACGAAATATGAATCACAGTCTGGATCCAGAGATACTAAGTTCAGCAGAAGCCATTGCTTTCTCTATAGAGAAGCTGAACCAGTGCTTGGAGCCTCTGTGCTACCTGCTGAGGAAGGCCATGGAAAGATGCCTCCGAGCTTGCCTGGATCTGGTGCTTACTGAGCACAGTCCATCAAAACTCAGCACGGGGGGCTTAAGGAACAAAGAGTTTAGTTAATGACTGTGGGGAAGAGGACTGCTAGGGACAGCCTCACTTACAAGCAGCCTTACAAACCCTAACATCACAAGGATTTCTTCTGTGCCCAGTTCCATGCTGGCTGAGCATCCGCTGGCTTGCTGCTGGGAAGCAGCATGGGGGAGAAGCCAGTGAGCAAGCAAGCAGAGCAGCCACCGCTGAGCTTGCTGCCCACAGAGCTGGAAAGCAGTGAGGAGGGGCTGGCTGCTAATTCTTGCTATTACCAGCTGCTGAACCAGAGAATGAGTTCATCACCCAGAGAATGGCAAACATGTAAAGACAGTGGAGAAGTTTGCTCAGCCCTAATGGGAGAGAGAAAGAGCAGGCTCTTTTTAATTAAGAAAAGATGCCAGATTGACATCCTACTAGCAAAGTTATTTTGCTCTCAAATTTTGCCTGAACTGCTCTGAGTATAAGGAATTGTTCTCAAGATGTGTTTATTTTTACTTTATTGAAAACCATAATTTTACTTTAAATATAGAGGTTACATTCTTAAAACCACAAAGAATTCTTTCAGGGTCCTTTGGCATATTAACAATAAATAAATAAATAAATAAATAAATAAATAAATAAATAAATAAATAAAACAGAGAATGTAATGAGTTACTTTGCCCCAGCAAAAGTAAAAGTGCTAGTTAGTCACAAATACCTGCATCTCTAATGATTTGTTCAGCAGCAGCAGCCAGTGTTCAGCTAACACTGTCTTAATGTAATGTGGAATATATAAACACATGGGAGGCAAATATCCTTTTTATATTTAGTTTCTGCCATTTTGCAGTCCCTTGTTAAAACACCTGGAAAACCAGACTATGCTTTGGTAGATGCTGTTAAAGGGTTACACTAAATTCATTGTCACGGTTTTTGTATTTCTGGAAGGTGGATTTAGGATATAAAGCAAAAATTGTCAGAAGGAGTTTTAACATCTACCACTGATGTAAGATCTAAATGAAGGATGTTCCACCAAACATCAACTCTAATGTTGAAAATATTTCCCTTTTATTATGAGCTAAGTAATCTAATCTGTGTGTAAGCCAAGAAATTTTATTGCTCTTTCTATTCATGCAATTCATAAATACCATGTTTATATAAGCAGATTATGTAGGTATTTATGTAAATTGGCATCAAAAGCACAAAAAATAGACACTGACAATCTAAAACATTATATGACAAATCTGTCTTGACTGCCTTTAAAAATAGTTATATTGTGAAGAAAAAAAAAAAAAAGAAAAAAAGAAGAGAAAATCAGTCTGAATCAATCTGAATCAAAACGATTAACCACATGAACTACCACAAAGTAAAAAGTTGCCCTATGTCAATTGATCTGCGATAGCTATCTGCATGCCCTTAGCAAATGCAAAATACTGCAAATTAGTTAGGTTCTTCATAACTGAGGGCCAAGCTAACTCACGTTACCTGACATTTTCTGTAGGCCAAATAAGGCATTCATGCTGAGTCTGGGCTAAGAGCAAAGGTTCCTCAGAGGAGTCAGGTAATTATCCAGCCTAATTTAAATTTCTAAAATTAGATTCTCTGAATACTCCTTTCTGAGGTGCACAGATGACAATATGTATTTGCAGGTGTTTTGTGGTTGTTTTTATCCTATTTGATCCTGATCTTTAATGTTTCATTCTTTACTTAAGATGCTGGGGGAGGGCGGGAAGGGGAGAAGAAGGAGGAAAAAAAGGAGAAAATAATTTTCTTTTTCCAGCTTGGTTTCTCTTCCCAGCCTTGTTTCATGACTATCCTGTATGCTGACACTGTTTTGTTGCTCCACTGCAACATCAAAAAAAGGCTGCTTGACCTTCCCAGTTTCTCTTCCAGTTGGCTTGCTCCTCCTGCAAACTAAGATGCTGCTTCTTTGACAAAAGTAGTCCTGCTGTGTTACATAGCTGCTATGTTCAGAGAGGAACCATGACCTGCATGATGTCTAAGGCCAAATGATGTACACACTTTAGGCATCCACACCTTTGTGTGGTGAAAGGCCGGATTAAGAAGGTACGCTCTGAATGTGCCAGCAACATCCTGTCAATGACAGAATTGTATTCAGAACAAAGCACCCTTCTTTGAAAAGAGAAAGTAACTCAAGTGCCCATTTTATTGTATAATAGTTAAGCGATTAGAGCACTTCACCAAGGAGAGAGAGACTTCAGCTCAATTCCTTCTTCAGCTTGACAAGATTCAAAAGTACATCTACAGCCTCCCAGGAAATCGTTCATCCTATCTCCATAAAACAGCCTGAACTGAAGCACTCTCCATTCTGCCTGCTGAAGTAAGGCCACTAAATATGAAGTAGTGTCAGATTTTTAGCACTGAAGGAAAACAAGAAAGAAAGAAAGAAGAAACTTAACTCGGCCTGGTGACAATAGCATTCTGCTGGAAAATAAATAAATAAATAAATAAATAAATAAAACAGCTGTGGGGCTTGCTCCCAGTCCCACATCGCTTTATGTACTGCATTTAATGATGACCTAATGTATAGGATATCTCTTGGAGAACTGGGAAAAAGAAAGGTGGACTGAGCTGGCAATCTTATTTAGCAATTGGGATGGGCTAAAAGCAGTGAAAAAATGGGCTAGCGTAAGTAATTTAACAGGCTGTGACTGCTTAAAATTTGTTAACTTGATCAACTGCTATCTTACGAGTGTGTTAAATATGTTATCAATTACTGTAACAAAATTAAAAGTAGAATTTAAAATTTGATTCTTCTGTAGGTATTACCACTTGTTGCAGTAGGAAACAAATTGCCAAATAGGCCAACTGTGTGAGTTATGATACTCAGTGTGGTTAATTACTGCAAACAGTTTTTCCAATTTACTATTCAGGTTCTGAATTGCTCATATGGCACCATGCTTAGGCTGTTCAGGAGCTCTTACTCATCTATGCAGGAAGGAGACTGTGTTATTCATTCCTCACTATTCACTCTTACCCATTTCTTTTGTTTGTTTGTTTGTTTGCTTTAAACATGTCTGATGACAACAGAGAAAACAGAAAAAGAGGTTGTGGGATTTAAGTAACTACCTGGGTTCCACAATCAATTCACAAGCAAGCCAAACAAGGCTTGGGTGAGTACAGGCTGAAGACTGCTCATCCATTCTATCAGACAAGAACTTAGTTCCAAAAATTTCAGAAGAAAATTGATCAGTTCACAAACTATTTGTAGATGAGAAAAATGGAACTGCTTTCATCAGATACAATCATTCACAATTAATAATGTGATGTTATTTTTAGTACTCTGAAAACAGAAGTTTCCTTTAAATGCCAAAAACCTACTACGTGTTTTGATTACTACTGACATAATCATCCTCTCTCTAAAAAGGCGTATCTTTCCTGTTGGGATTATGCCATCTTGTCTTGTGCCATCACTAATTATTAACAATGAAGAGAGAGGAAAAACAATAAAATTCACACTCTTCCCACAGTAAAAGCAAATAAACGTTAAAATGTGGAGACTGTTATGAGACAAATTTTACTCCCAGAAAGTGATATCCTCAAATCCTGACACAGAGAGCTGGCATGGAGGTTATTGAGACTATTTTTGTTACTGACAGAGCAACAAAAGACATGGAAGATATGACAATCAAAACCAAAAAGTAATGCACAGCTCCCAGAAAACCACAGGAAATACCTCCGGAGTACATCTAGTGAGGTAAAAGCCACAAAATCTGAAGGGAACAAATGGCATAACCTTTCTATGACAACAATGCAAATCTGCCTGTGCACAGCATTGTTTACTTTTACACACTGTATACAGCCCAACTGGTTTCAGACATTTGCCTGTGCCTCTAGAACAAAGAAAGGTTTTTATGCAACAATTTTATGTTATATGTAAAGGAGGAATTCACATGCACTGGCTTTTTTGCTCAGGAGTTGATCTATTTTACTTCACCTGCACAACAGTTCCAGCACTTCTGACATGAAAGACCACTGCCTGACATGCATATGTAACCACAAAAGTTTAATGTCAAAAGTACAGGTTGGATACCATTTAGGCAGGTCAATCAGGCTTAGTCAGTAGCATCTGTAAAAAGATAAGATATTTACAAGGAGACTTACTTGTAAAGATAACAGAAGATCAATCAAAATCTGATAATAGTGATGTTCTTGTGCTCAGATATTATAATAATGAGCACTTTATGCAGTAGGTTTGATACATTCTAAAGCTATCTACTGAAGTGAGCCACCCAACAGGTATTTTCCAATTATGAGATTAAAAGGTTCTAAGATTTTTTTGAAAGTCCATGGCAGAGTTTATCAGAGAAACCATCTGGTTCCAGCACCAAAAATAACTCTTTTGATCATAGCATCCTTTCATGATTAGTCATGACTGAAAACTAACCTTCCATCTTCTCACACAGCACACAGGCATGCTATTAACAATTTGTTTCACTGTGGATTGAGTTTATTAAAAATGTCTGTAGTTCCAGACATTACTATTATAAGCCCTATTTTAATAAGCCATATTATTATACACTGGATTTCTGCATTTCAAAAGCTTTCCAAGCAAGATTTTGTTCTTGAAGGGACAAAAAAAATAATATCACCATTTTCAAAAAATAAGAAAATGAGATATCATTTTTAGTCTTATTTTAATAGTTTGCATTTCAACAGTTAAGCAAGATATATCATTGAAAAAAAAAAAATCCTCTGTGGAATTACCAGTCTTCGATTATGTGAATTTTTATGTCTTCCAACAGGACAACTATTGTCCATATGTCTATGTAATACATACTTCTAGTGCTCAGAGAACTTTAATATGCATGTATGTTACCAATGACAGAAGCTCTTTGCAAATGCACTGAATTTATTAGGATAGTCTGGGCAACATAAGCCCTTTTCACAAACAAGGACCAGAACTTGCTACCTTCAACCTAGCAACACAAAAAAAGATAATTCAGACATGATATACTCTTTGCCATTTTCCGTGAAGGCAACGCCACCACACACATATGTTCATTGAAATACACACCTAGACACCACTTGAGAGTGAAATAAGAAGAAAAAGCATTCGAGTAATAAGCACCAGATGAACTGAAGAAATAATAAAAATGCTTGTGTTAAATGGGATAGTGCAATACATGAATGATATTTTCAAAAATGAATTATTTGTTATGATTTACAGAATGTCTGCACAGAAATTGCTTTTATGACGTTGTAAGAACTGTTTGAAGTTTGTAGGGGTCTTTATTGCTTGACATCCTGGTTTCTACGTTGCCTATTGATGACACCCACAGTAGCAGACTAGAGGTTAATAAAGCATTGGAAGAGAAAATAATGTGAAAAAGTGCAAAGTGAGTAATTAAATTTTACCAGATGCCTTATATTCCTAGATAGCAGTCAGAGGAGCAGGACAAACAGAAAGGTCTGTTTAGATCACAGCAAGAAGGATGTAGAAAAAGATGGCTGAAAAATAAAAGGTAAAAAGGAAATCTAAATGACTATTTTCAATATTCAATGACATTTTTCATTTTTTTGGTAAAGACGCATTGTAGTGGTTTAACCTGGCAGCTCACTCCCTTCTCCCTGAGTGGGGTCAGGGAGAGAATCAGAAAAAAGAATAAATAAATAAATAAAAATGTGTGTATTATATGTCATATACGTTATATGCTACTACACTCTGCTGACCCAGTTTTCTGACATATGAAGAGTGTACAGTATCCACTGACTTACCTCTGTATGGTAAATATACATATCAGATATATACATGTATCAGAATATAAGTTGCCTAATAACCACAGAGGAGTGACAGATGCACCAGGTGGTCATGCAGCCATTCACAGAGATCTCAACAGGATGAAGAAATAAGCCAACAGGAATCTCATCAAGTTCAGTAATCAAAACCCTAAGTCCTGCACCTCAGCAGGCTGGGCGTTGACAGCCTGATCCACCTACAGGTCCTGGTGGACAACAAGCTGAAGGTGAGCAGCATGCCCCTGTGCCAAAACTGACCAACAGTGTCCTGGGCTACAAATGGAAGTGCTTTGCCAGCAGCAGTTTCAAGGGATGTGATCTTTCTCTTTTATCCTGCACTGGAGAGATCACACCTGGAGTGCCAGGTCCAGGAGAGACATGGAAAAGTTGAAGTCCAGCAAAGGGACACTAGGATGATTAAGGGACTGGAACATGTGTTGTATGAGGAGACACTGACAGAGCATGGACTTTTCATCCAGGAGAAGAGAAGGCACAGAGGGGATTTTATTGATGTGTATAAATACCTAACAGGGGGAGTGAATATGACAGACCCAGACTCTTCTCAGTGGTGCCCAATGACAGACAAGGGGCAATGGGCACAAACAGAAATATAAGAAATTCCACTGTAATGTATGAAAAAACTTTTTTACTCTGAGGGTTCCAGTTGGAACAGATTACCCAGAGATATTGTGGAGTTGCCATCCTGGGAGACAGTGAAAATCTTACTGGGCACATCCCTGAGCAAGCTGCTCCAGGTGATACTGCTCTGAGCAATGGAGTTGGCCTAGACGACCTCCAGAGGTCCCTTCTAATCTCAGCAATTCAGTGATTCTGAGAATCTGTGATAATGAAGTATCTGCCTTGCCATTTTATTTCTGAACTGCTTCTGAAAGGTGCAAGCTTACTGCCATTCTGAAGTAAAGACCTACAGCTAGGTTTATTAGTACTTACCATTTTCATGTGGCCATGTTCATTCTGACTCATACAGCAGCCTGGACTCTCCTGAACAACCCAGCAATTTGCAGCAGTGACAGTGAACAAACCCTAGAAAAGAATTGCTTTGCAGGAAACATTTGTGTTGCCATTGGGGGCAAGCTAGCAAAAGGAATAGCGATGACCTGTAGTAGAAAGGGGACTGGATCAATGCTTCAAATCTGTAGCATAATGAGTTCTTCCTGTGTATGGTAAATGTCACCTTACTGCTCAGTTCCAGTATATGAGGAATAAAGCGTAATGGGGGAAGGGGTGGCACAGAACACTCCTTCTCCAAGCTGAGGCTGCATTATCTCTTCAGAAATAAGAAGGGAAGATGCAATAAAGTTAAGGTGGTAGCACCTAGTAACAAGAGTGCAACAATAATAGCAAGCTGAAAAACACTCTTAGGAGCACTGTTAACTTAAAGACATAATTTTCACAGGCCTAATTTCCAGAAATGCACTCTGGGAATTACTTATATAAAAAGACAACCTTAGGAGTTGGCAGGGAATGAGGGTATTGTAAAGAAGTGTTTGTCCAATTATTTTGCTCTCTACCGTGGATGGCCATTTCTAACAGAACTCGATGAGGCATATCCCAGGCTGGCTTTATTGCTGCTTGTCAGGGATTCAAGTTTGCTGATGCCAAACAAACTTGCTGATGCTATGCCTCCCTCCATCGGGCTTCATGAGGTTGATTATCAACCCAAGTGATACAACACAGAAAGCAAATAAGAACTGATGTTCTTCCCCTATCCAAAGCATGTTTTCAAGCTTTTTCTTTCAATTTGATAGCATCTAAACACCACTACACCCACCCTCTTATTCCCCTTCCTCAAAGGAAGAAAAGAAACTATGATGAAAAAGAGGTCAAGGGCTAAGATTAAGGACAGGGAGATCACTCAACAATTACTGTCATGGGCAAAACAGATTCAGCTTAGGGAGATTAATTAAATTTATTACCTATTATGAACAGGCTAGAGTAGTGAAAAACTAAAAGCAAACTTAAAACACCTTCTCCCCATTGACTTTCTTTTAATTCCTCCCCCTGAGTGGCACAGAAGAACGGGGAATGGGGGCTGTGGTCAGTCCCTGATGCTTCGTCTCCACTACTCCTTCATGGTCACTCTCTGCCCCTGCTCCACATGGGGTCCCTCCCATGGGATGCCATCCTTCCTGAACTGATCCTGCAGGCAGCAACTCTTCAAGAACTGCTCCCACATGGCTCCATACCACAGGGTCCATCCCCCAGGAGCAAACTGCTCCAGCACGGGTCCCCCAGGGATGGCAGCTCTGGCCTGGGGCCTGCTCCTGCAAGGGCTCTCCATGGGCCGCAGCCTCCTCCAGGCCACATCCACCTGTTCCAGCGTGGGCTTGCAGAAAACGACCCTGGATGACTGCATGGGCTTGCAAGTGTTGTTACAGTACAGTTACTGGGAACACTGCAGTCTTTATTACAGGAGGTATTTATCTTCTTCAATATCATTTCTTCCCTCTCTAAACACAGCTAGCACTTGACATGAAAAACATGACATGTACTTCCTTCCCATCTAGAAGCACTTGTTACAATACTATAATGTTGTAAATTTTGTGCTGTTCAAATTCAACAGTATTCACAGCCTGAAATAGCACACCTGATCTTCCTTCATTTATGTGCAGTACCACAAAGCTTCTGTGAGCACAAACACAGAATGAAAAGGTGGCTTCTGCCCCAAAGAACCTTGCAGTTTGAGCTGAAAGAAAGCAGACATATTCGAGTAGACCAAGGGCACAAGGAAAGAATGAAACATCAGTGATAATGATGTTCTGAAGTGCACCATACAGGCAGCTCATCTGTTTATATTGTTGCATGAAGCCCGTAACAGAAAGCTTATGGATAATATATATCTGCTCTACAAGGACCTCTAGCACTAAGGAGAGCTGCCCAGGAAGTTACTGTATGAAAAGTTTGGAAATTGCAGTCAAAAGAGGAATAGCAGGTAGAGATGGGTAAAAGCTGGCATATTCATTTGCGCTCGGCTACTCGGCACTTGGTTTACTAACCTCAGCTTTCTCAGCATATCCAGGTAGGACTGAAAATAGACTCAGTTTGAAACAGAAAAATAAAGTCATCACTTTCCAAATTCATTTCATACTTCAGGGGTTATGAATTCTCCTCCCTTTTGTTTTCCTCAGTTCAAACTTTATAAGTTTGGGGCTGGAGGAAATGGGAGAAGAATGGTATCTAGTGTTATTTCCTGGAGATAAAGCTTATACCTAAAATGTGAGAGATGTGAAAACACTGAACTTTAGAGGCTGATTAATGATCCCAAGCACAGAGCAGGTTAGGTGTTTTGGACTGGACCACTGAGTTTCCTATTATATCATCTTTAAGGCAGATTGTCTGGAGTTGTGCCAAAGCACAACACCCTTCCCTTATTTTCCTGAGCAAGCCATTGCTTTTGATTTGAGAGAAGGCTGAGCTGAACATAGTTCTGGTAAAATAGTACACCTAAGGCTGGATTCCACAATACATTTCTGTGGAGTTTGCAACAAGAGGTGCACAAAAAGCCTTCCCCTGTCCTTGCTGAGTACAACAATCTCCCAGAGCATGGACCTGCTCGCAGCTCCAGCCATTCTCATAGCTCTTGCACAAAGCACATTCCCATAAGGGCTTCATTGAATAGGTAGTATCTCCATTTCTTAAAAAAGAATTCAGTGGAAACTTCACACGTGCATTTCTGATAATCAGCCCCAGGGAGCCAGGGCGCAAACTCCAAGCCAGGAACTTGCTCTGAAGTGTAACTCCTTTCAGGCAGTAGATTGATACTCTATCTACTGTAATCCTCAACAGTATATAAAATGAAATGTGTTTTCCACTGAAAATAATTGAAAGACCCAAGAAACCCTGCAATGTCTTTTCAGGCTCGATGAGCCTTCTCTATGTACTTTCCTTTAACATTTCTTTCCCTTGAAGAGCAAGTTATAAGACAATGATTTAATGCACTATACATAATTGCATTCAAAATCCCTCTAGGATTATAGGATATTTTTGTCTTGCTCTGCTTCCTCTATGTTTTCACCACAACACAACAATATTCAGAGCCCCTATCTACATACTTCCATCAGTCCATTGTTCATTAAGTAAGCCAGGAACATGTAAAGCTTTGATCAGTTCTCAAACAACAGGAAAATTTCTTACTAAAATTTTCCCACAGGATTGCCATAACTGCATAGACAAACCAGCTGCTGTGCAAACAAGTGAGTAAATGATCACTTTTGCTTTAACAATCCACAAAATTGGCCCTTCCTTACTTTTTTTATTAACTCCACAGTTGGCAAAGACATGGTATTACAGAAGTGGACAGCTGGATGATTCAAACATGATTGTCAGTATGTCTATACTGCAGTAGAATCTATTTTTTTTTATCTTAGAAAAAGAATCAAGTTCCTAATATTTATTTCATAAGCCTGTTACTAAGCGTTTGAAGACAAAGTGAACACTGCTGCATAGAATAGCTATACACCACCCACCTTTATGCTAGCTTGTTCAGTGGATAGCAGTAGCTCAGCACAAGCTGGTCTATCCTGTTTCTCAGATAGATTTTTCAGTTTATAGTTTTTGATA